TCAGCCACCACACACCACAACCACAACCCACCACGCGACAACCAGCCTATGATGTTCGCAATCCACCAGCAAACCGTAATGTGGGGATTGGGCAGCAAAAATCCCAATTTTGTCTCCCAAGCCTCACCCTTTTGATGACTCTCAAAGTGGAATTCTACCTACTTGTTCCTCTTGGAACCAACGCCAATAACTGGAATTCTTGAATTATCTTTGACCAGCCATTGATGGAAACATCTATTGTCAGGGAAAAGTAATAAGTATTTTGAGTACAACCATGGGCAAATACGATCATACACACAAGTCAAGAACGACAAAGGTGGTAAGAGATTGACTGTCTTGCAGAAATGAGTATGTATTTGACTTTTTTGCAACAATAATGCTTATGCCTCATGTTCTATAAGGCATAATCATAAAAGCATACTGGTCCACATTTCTCAGTCTAATTTCTACCCCGGTCTTCAGTGAATCATACCAGTGAACAGGTTTATCTTACTCTTACGTATGTTGCACTTCTCTGACCAAAACCAGCCTGAAGAAGTGGACAGGTTATACAAGATTAAAATGTTTTCATGTATCTCCAAACTAAATTTCAGCATATACTTTTTATTCATTCAAGAAATCTTGTAATTGACGAGTCTTTGATTTAGCGTTCAAAGTAGACTGTCATTCAAGCATATATCCGAGGCAAGAGGAAACGCTTTGGTATAAAACATGTTGTATCTGTGATTGTGAACAGTGGCCATGTGTTGGAACAATTGTTGTATAACACGGAAGTCAAAACATTGAAAACATACCAAGATGTATAGGGTATCTCAGTGATGTAGTGAGAAACATGAGCACCTTATCTTGGTAAGGGGCAATAACATTATATGATAATATACCGATAACTGGATACACACGCCCTTCCAGGATTACTCAGCGAGTGAACAAGACAGATGTGTGTGGCACATGCGTCAAATCATAAACATATTGCCCAGAATGCCCAGGGCTCAACGCAGGTGCCGTGTGATGACGTGCAAGGTGTTTACTGCCATGACATCATCTGGCATTTACGGTGGGCATGACAAACGAGATGTCCATTGAGTTGACACAACCAATCAACCGTAATGAAATGCGACAGTGGAGCAAAAGTTGATCGAGTGACTAATGAACGTATTCAACAAACCAGTGACAGTGATTGATTATACACAAACATGCACATGTTGACAAATGTGACATGCAGAGATTGCTTTTGTTTGACTGTGTTCGTAGAAGAGTTACAAGAGGTACAGTGAAACTTTTTCTTTCTTCCATCTCATGGACATCTCAAATTTTCAATGCTCAATTATGCCATATAATATGTACCAAATAAAGACTATGGCACAGACCACCGTATGGTGAGAATTTGTTTGTCTGTTGTCAGACAAGCGTCATAATGGAAGTAACCAGGAAAGAACACCTGCTATACAACAAGGTCCTCGAATTACTCAGGATATACCCAAGCGTTTGAGGAGGGAAGGTGAGATCATTTCATGAAATAACAATATTTATAAATAATACAGCATATTCCTTCACCACAGAATAGAAATTTTGCTCAAAGACGATTGTTGTCTGTGCATAAACAAAACGACGGTAAAACAAACAACAAAGACGCAAAGACACTCGGTTTTAATTGAGAGAATGTTAAGGTGCCTCTGTGCATGTGCCGACGATGTATCAAAGGAGTTTCGCACAAGCTCCAGCAAGTATCGTAAAACCATTTCCAGTGATATGAAATATAGATAGAACATTAGTATTATACAAGATTTGTGCCATGTTTATTGTAATAAACAACAGGTGGTAAAGAACATAATATGATAATAACTTTAGTGCGGTTATTGGTGTTCAATACAGTGAGTTATATATAAACATTATATAATCAGTCATTGTCATCTCCGCCCCAAATGCTAGTAGGAAAGAAAAAATTTGGAAAAAAAGAAAAAACTATAAAAACCGCTAAATATTGTAAGCGCTGTATGTGGAATTCGTCGATGAGTTGCCGCCAGCCACCGAGACATCATTAAAAAGAGAAACTTTCATTTTTTTCCTTACAGGTCACCTTGCCTTTGGTGGGATAGGCTGGTTTGTTGAAAAAAAATATATATAAAATATATATAATTTATAAAAATGAAACAACTTGTTAAAAAACGTCTTGAAAATGTTGGAAAATTGTCCAGACATAATGGAAGCAAGTTGTGGAGCTCATGGAGAATGTAAAGAAACTGAGGTGGTGCGCGTGGCGACCATATTAAGTGTCTGGTGAGGAGGCCATAATAGCAAGTTTTGTCATATGTTTGAAATGTCTGTATAGTAGAATGCCTGTTTGTTTAAGGTAGTCGATGTGAAACTCTGTAAAGCGGAGGCCTATTGAACTAGAATAAGGTAACTGAGTTATTTGCATTAACATTCAACAGATCAATCATACAATAACAGGCTTACACTCTTAGTCTCTGTGTATACATTTTAAGATGGCTTTTTTAACAAATTTGAGACATTTAAATACTGAATATTAATTATTTAAAACGTGTTTATGTTTAATTAGACTTGCTATGGTAACTCTTCTGTCTCTGTTATACATTATTTTACGTATGGTTGTTTTTAAAACAAATTGACATTTAAAATACTGAAGCATTAACCCTTAAACGGTTCAAACGTAATATATACATCACTCGTGGCAGCACCCCCAATATATTGAACAAAAAAAAAAAAAAAAAAAAAAAGGTTTTATCTATTTTTCATATTATTTTTATGTAATTTTATTGTCTCATAAATACAAGTTTGTAGTACAGTTTTCTTGTCATTTTATAACCAATCATTGTTCGACACTAGTATTAGGTACTGAAATTGTACTCAAATTGTACACAAACCACTGACCAGGTGACACCTCTACACCTCCTCAGCCATTTACTATTGTCTTGGAATATATACAAAGCAAGTTATATGTCCCGCAACGTTTTTGGATATTGGAAGTACATATAAAATGAGGAGGAGAAAAAGTGAAGATGAAGAAGAGAAGATGGAGGAAGAGGAAAAAAAAAAAAGAGGAAGAGAGGAGGAAGGAAGAGGAAGAAGAGGAGAAGCGAAGAAGAGGAAGAGAGGAAGAAGAGGAGGAAGAGGAGAGGAGGAGGAGGAGAGGAGGAGTGAGGATGAGGAGGAGGACGAGGAGGAGGGCGAGGATGAGGACGAGGAAACTGAGGAGGAGAGAGAGGTACACATGATAAACTGACGTTTTGATGAGCATACACAAAGGTGGGGGGAGGGTGCAGCTGATAAGAGAAGATTAGAGTGAATAATTATGAATGAGCATGCGCCCCTCACTTTGTATTGTCGCTGTACACAAACATGTCTGTCTGTCTAGTTTCTGTATTCTATCTGTCAAGCCACTGTCTATCTGTTCTATCCGCTAGCTCCCTGTCTCAATCAGAGCCACAAACTGGCGTCGTCATCAAGTTTACCACATATCTCAAGCAGAGTATAGCACTTTGTCTGGATTTTTTGGGTTATCCTAGGTAATTTACACTATGTATACTTGTATTTATGTGTACCTGTGAGACAGAGATAGACAGACAGATAGAAAGAGAGACAGACTGAAAGAGATACAGAGATTGACAAAGACATTTAGAGACAGAGACAGATAGACAGAGACAGACACAGACAGACAGAGGTAGACAGAGATAAACAGAGATACAGACAGAGATAGACAGAGGAAGACAGAGATAGACAGAGATACATAGATAGACAGACTCTAAACTTGTGGTTAACATCACTTTCCTCTTAAAAGAGGAGTGTTAATATGACATTACATCAGTGAATCCTTGGTGTTTGCTGCACTGTTTGCTCTAGCTGGCGCTCAATTTAACTGGAGCTCCCACAAGGTACGAAGTGGTCCCAGATTTTTTTAATACCGCACACAATGAGTGATAGGACCCATTCTATGTTGACAAGCCATCTCAGGCCAATCGTGCCAAATTTGAAGGCAGGAAAAATAAAACATATATATACGTTTGGGGCGATATGCATAAGAACGTATATATACGTTTGGACCATTTAAGAGTTAATTATTTAGAAAGTGTTTATGTTAACTTGGGTATTTATCATTTTACACTTATCACTGACATTATTTTACTTTCATCACAATAATTTATAAACAAAAGGTCACCCAGCTTACAAAACTGCATTACTTTTACATTTTTTTAACTGTAAAGGCTCATAATCCAAGGAACTGGAGCTACCATCCCCATATGTAGACTGAATCTTATTGCCTTCCATTCCTTAGGCTTTGTATGCCTCCTACAGTTTCAGGAAGCAACAGTACTGAGGATGGTTATGTTGTATACACGTTTGTTATACAGCTTGGTAATTTGAAAACTTTGAATTAGTTCCTAAATGCCTCGTTGGTACATGCAGATGCTGTAACTTAGGGAATTTGAATGCAACAGACCTCCTGTAACATTACTGAAATACAGTACAGTATTTTTGTACTTTAATTTTATTGATAAATCTTTATAAAACTGTCTTGAAAGATGTTAGTAAAGGCTTGTCGTAAGGATCACTGAAAATGGTAGAGTTAAAAATAAATCACATTACTAATCAACTATGGTAAACTAATTAAGGTTTTTATGGAAACTAGGAACAATATCAAGAAGCAAGCTTGGGAAATACACCTTTAAACCTTTGTCCAAATGGCTAAATATAGGGAGGTAACACATTCTCTAAGTACACTAAATGAACTATTCTCTACCTGGCAGAGAATAATAGGTTGAACTCCAAAAGATGAATTCTTACACATACGTCACCTAAAAAAAGACATACCATGATACACAGTTCAATACTCTTATAAAAACTGCTCCAACATCATAAGATGCACTAAAACAATATTACTGTATATCACAACCATATACACTACATAATTCACTAAATAATTCAACATTTATTGTATAAATATTGCATTAAGTTTGGCCAAGTTACAACATAACACTCACCTGAAGACTTGGTTTAGGACGTGGAGTACCTTCAGTAGATTGTGTGCTACCTCTGTTTGGGGTCGAGTTCATGGCAATACTCTCTCCTTCTTCATACTGGTGGGAAAACATCATCTCATAATATAATTCTACCTTAAACATGAAATAATAGCAAGCAAAAAAAAATTATATGGACATAAAAAATTCCTATGTACGTAGAGTACATACCCATGAATTACTCTTATTTTAGCTTTAATTTGTATTTAACCCTTTGAGGGTTTCAGCCGTACTAGTACGGCTTACGAACCAGGGTTTTTGACGTACTAGTATGCCTAAATTCTAGCGCCCTCAAATCTAGTGGGAGAAAGCTGGTAGGCCTAAGTATGAAAGAATGGGTCTATGTGGTCAGTGTGCACATTATAAAAAAAATCCTGCAGCACACAGTGCATAATGAGAAAAAAAAATCTTTGACCGTTTTTTTGGAATAAAACAGCGACTTTGCACTGTATTTTCTTATGGTATTTATTGTTGTATTCTAGATTTCTTGGTCTCACTTTATAGAATGGAAGACATATTACAGAAATTGAGATGATTTTGACTGGTTTTACAATGAAAAGTACCTTGAAATTGAGCTCAAAGTAGCAGAAATGTTCGATTTTTACCAAAGTTCAAAAGTCAATAAATCATGCCAAGCGTCCAATACACGTCAACTGGTGAGTCTAATATTCTTTCACCAGTGCGCTGATATTATTTATACCATTTTTTACACTAATGCAGTAGTCTGCATAACAGTAAATCTTCTATTTTTTGTGAGAATAAAAATTCAAAGTGGAAAGCAAAAGAATGTAAGAGGGGCCTTGAGACGTGACTAATGAACAGAGGATATGTCATTTTAGTGCCAGGAATGTCTTTCATGTTTATTCTGGACCCTATTCGGAAATTGGCATCTTTTGAAATTTGTGTGAAATTGGCAAAATTGCTAAATTCTGACCACTGTACTGGATAGTTGAAATTGGTAAATGGGTGGTTTCTTGCACTCATTCGATAGAAAAAATGGAGTTCTAGCGAAATATTCATGTTTTTGGTCGACTAGTACAGTGGAATTGGCCGAAAATGGGGCTGAAAGTGGGCAAAATCGCTGATGCGTAAACATCGCCAAGACCGCTAACTTCGCGAGAGCATAATTCCGTAAGTTTTCCATCAGCCCATTCTGTCCGTGTCCCCACACAGGCGCCATGAGCCAGTCTGGTTTTGTTGATGCTTGAATGAACATTAACCTGCACTCTCATTCAAATATTTTACGATTATTTCATTGTGTTTAGTGCTTGACCATGGGCCCAAAGAAACTTGCTAGTGGTCCCCCTGTGATAAAGAAAGTGAGAAACACCACAGATGTGAAGAAGGAAATAATACAGAAGTATGAGAGTGGTGTGAGACTCGTTGAGCTAGCCAGGATGTATGGGAAAAACAAGTCGATCATCAGTTCTATCCTGGCAAAGAAAGAACAAATCAAGGAAGCTGATGTTGCAAAAGGTGTTAATATGCTAACCAAAAAAAGACCATACACAATTGATCAGGTTGAGAAGTTGTTGCTGGTGTGGATCAAGGATAAAGAGATGGCAGGTGATAGTGTTTCAGAGACCATTATTTGCAAAAAGGTAAGGAAGTTGCAAGCCGATCTGGTACAGAAAACTCCTAGAACCAGTGCTGATAGTGAATTTAAGGGCAGCAGAGGCTGGTTTGACAGATTTAAGAAGCATAGTGGCATACACAATGTTGTAAGGCATGGCGAGGCAGCTAGTTCTGACAAACGGGCGACTGAGATGTTTGTACAGGAGTTTAAGGTTTACATAGACACTGAAACATTAAAACCCCAACAAGTGTTCAATTGTGACAAAACAGGCCTGTTTTGGAAGAAAATGCCAAAGAGGACCTACATTACTCAGGAAGAAAAGGCACTCCCAGGACACAAGCCAATGAAAGACAGGCTAACTCTCTTATTCTGTGCTAATGCTAGTGGTGATTTCAAAGTGAAGCCTTTACCTGTGTATCATTCAGAAAATCCCAGAGTGTTTAAGAAAAACAATGTCATAAAGAACAAGTTATGCATCTTGTGGAAAGCAAATAATAAGGCATGGGTCATAAGGCAAATTTTCAAAGAGTGGGTCCATGAAGTGTTTGGCCCCAGTGTGAGAAAATACCTCCTAGACAATAATTTGCCACTCAAGTGCCTCCTGTTAATGGACAATGCTCCTGCTCATCCTCCAAGCTTATTAGACCTCTTGTCTAGGGACTTCAGCTTTATAACAGTGAAGTTCTTGCCTCTTAACACCACTCCTCTCCTCCAGCCCATGGACCAGCAGGTCATTTCTAACTTCAAAAAACTCTACACAAAAGCAGTGTTTGAAAAGTGCTTTGAAGTAACCACAGACACTAAGCTGACCCTAAGAGAGTTCTGGAGGAATCAATTCAATATCTACAGCTCCAGGCATGGGAGGGAGTGACTTCCAGGACCTTGAACTCTGCTTGGAGACAACTGTGGCCAGATTGTGTCCAAAAGAGGGATTTTGAAGGGTTTGAGGCTGACCCTGACCCTGACCCTGTCCCTGACCCAGCTGACCATCTGCCTGTTGTGGACTCTATTGTGGCATTGGGGAACACCCTGGGGCTGGAGGTGAGTGGCGAGGATGTGGAAGAGTTGGTGGAGGACCACAGGGAAGAGCTAACCACTGAAGAGCTGGAAGAGCTTCATCTGGAACAGTATCAGACCCCAGCTGAGGACCTTGCTTCAGAGGAGGAGGAAGAGGGAGTAGATGAAGTGCCTTCTTCAAAGATTAAGGAGATTTGTGCAGAAGTACCACCCTGAGCAAGCTGAAACAAGCCATCTTTGCAACAAGTTCAGTGACAAAACCATGTCCCATTTTAGGGAAATCTTAAAGAGGCACCAGAAACAGAGAACTGTGGACAGTTATTTTGTGAGACAGGGGTCCAGTGACTCTCAAGCTGGTCCTAGTGGCATTAAAAGACAGAGAAGGGAAGTAACCCCAGAGAGGGCTTTGATACGTGAAGTCCTCATGGAGGGGGATTCTCCTTCCAAACACTAACCCCAACTCCCTCTCTCCTCCCTATCTTCCAGATGCCATCACCAATCTTCAATAAAGGTAAGTAAAAATGTTATTTTAAATGTTTATTTAGATTTATTAATACATAATTGAACACTATATTTGTTGTGTGTATGTAAAACTGTAATTAATCTCTATAAAATGTATTTTTTTGTGAATATTTTTGGGTTTCTTATAAGAAATATTGCTTCGCTTTTCGGATTAAGTTCGAAATTTGAGGTTCCACTGTATACAGGTCAGCCATCACTGATCTGGCAATCACTAATCCGATTCCGTCACTAATTTCAGCTAGTATAATTTCAAATTTCCTGGGTCACCTCACCAACCTGCTGCTACTTCCTGCATAAACACTGTTGGTATCACTTGCAAACACAGGCAAGCAATTCCAATTTGTTTTCTAACTTTGCAGTGTATTTTTGTATGGTTTTCATGGTTGTATTCTCAGTTTTTTGGTCTCATTTGATAGAATCGAAGATATTGCAGAAATAGTGATGATTTTGAATGGTTTCAAGATGGAAAGTACCTTGAAATTGAGCTCAAAGTAGTGGAAATGTTCAATTTTTTCTGGAGTTCAAGAGTAAACAAATCAATGTCATGCATCCAATATGTGCCCCAATTGGTCTTTCCCAATACATGGCCATGAATGGGTTGACATTATTTATACAATTATTACAATAATGCAGTAGTCTGCATAACAGTAACCATTCCATAATTTGTGTGAATAAAAATTCAGAATGGAAAGTAAGCATAATATAAGAGGTTTGGAGACATGACATTATTTAGTGCCAGGAATGTCTGCACTGTTTATTCTGGACACTACTTTGAAATTGGCATCTCTTGAAATTTGTGTGATATTGGCCAAATTACAAATTTCTGATCACATTATTGGGTAGTTGAAATAGGTAAATAGGCGATTTCTTGTACTCAATCAACAAAAGAGAACGAATACTAGAAAAAAAAGCTATGAGCTTGGCTAACGGGAAACAATGGAATTGGTCAAAAATGGGGAATAAAGTGGGCAAAATCGCTGATGTATAAATATCACTGAGACCGTTAACTTTGCGAGAGCATAATTCTGTAAGTTTTCCATCAAATTTCATACTTTTGGTTTCATTACCTTCAGAAAAAGATTCTCTATCTTTTCATAAGATAAAATCTTTGCAGATTGTGATAGTAAAGGTTAACCAACTGAACTGATTCATAGGGTATTTTAAGGTACAGGTCCCCCATCACAAATCGGCAATCAGTTATTCGGTTCCTTTCATTTAAATTCGGCACTAATTTTGGCTAGCATAATTTCAAATTTCCAGGGTCGCCACACCAACCTGCTGGTACTGTTTGGTGGCGCTACTTGCTGCAAAAGTCATTCTATTTCTTTTTCTCCATTTATTGTTATTTTCCTGCTTACTTTTAAGCCCTAGCCATGGCTCCAATGAATAAAGAAATGTTTTTTGTTGTGTAAAGCACCTACACAGTACATTGTCCATTAAAGATAAGGTGGCTTTGAAGCCACTGTCGGTTGCTATGAGCTCAGTCTCATGATGCAGAAGAATATGCTTTATTATTATGCTAATATCAACACTAGAGCTTATTGCCCATCACAATTGATCTAGTATGACATAATAACCAATATAAATAACATAAAACATGTTAAATACTCCAGAATGAATAATATTTGGCATAATACCGAGCAGTTCGACAGAGGTATGGAGAGGATACGAGATACGAGTACCATTCTCCTATCCCTGTCTTGGGGCATATAAAGAGAAAACGGAGTGTAGCACAAAGCTAACTGTGATATACACTCGTACTGCACCATAAACCTGAAACAAAAAAGCTTTCTTTCTTTCGACGCACCAGCCATATCCCAGTGAGGTGGGGTGGCCCAAAAGATAAAAAACGAAAGTTTCGCCTTTTAAATTTAGTAATATATACAGGAGAAGGGGTTACTAGCCCCTTGGTCCTGGCATTTTAGTCGCCTCTTACGACATGCAT